AGAGAGAGAGAGAGAGAGAGAGAGAGAGAGAGAGAGAGAGAGAGAAATGAATGAGGATGAAGGAGTAGACAGAGACAGCAGAGATGTCATAGCCAAATAATGCCCAGAAAAAGCAACGTAGAGCAAAGGTGCAAAGCAGGGTTTGCTTCCATAAGATGCCAGCAAGATGAAGCATGGCTCGGTTTACCAGATGTGTCCTCCTTTTTATCCTCAGGTCTGGCAGGTCTACCCTTAAAATCAAATATTGTCTGGCTCTTTGAGTGTCTTGGGTTTTGTGGGGGACTGTTTTCACAACTGTAGTCATTCAAACTTTCATGTATTTACAATTTACCTTGTAAATTGTTGCTTTTCTTTCCCTCATCCATCAAAAGACTCAACATCTTAGATTTGTTATTTATTTCCTGATTCCAGCAATCAGCTTGAATCCAGTCCCTCAAACCTATGATCACTGTTGTCTGTAAATCACAAGATTTCTCATACATTTCTATGGTGAAATTTGAAAAGGATGACATTGATTCTGTATTATCTCTAGCATGTGTTCTTGAAAATAAAGATTTGTTGGAAAAATATCGCGATTGAAGAACCAGTCTTTCTGATGCTGGAAAAAATAATTTCATATATATGTCAGCCTGAGTATTTTTTTTCTTTGCAGTTTTTCACTGTAATTTTTGTCATGTACGCCAAGAAAGTTAAACAGTATGTCCTCCTTTCCCCCACCTTTGTTCTCTTTTCCAATTGTCCGTGTCCTCCTTTGCCTCTGCAGGTATCTGGTAACCCTAAGCTCGGCCTCTTCTTGCCTGTTTGCCTCTGGCTGCTTTTCCTTAAATCCATCCATCCAAATCCTATTATACCTATTCCATAAGTAAACAACCTTATGCAAAGTGCAGAAAAAGAGTAAGAAATAGTAAGCCCAGGCCATTAAAGGCCTAAGTTAGGAGAAAGGAAATATAGCTCTAATGTATCCCAACACTATTCATTGCATGTTTCTATCCTTGCAAACCGGCCTTGCTTCTCCGTTATCATACACTACTTCATACAATGCACCCATGAATTACATTGCTAAAACCAATCTATGAGAGGGTTCTTTAAAATAAAACCCTGTCTTTTCAAAATAAAGGTCCAACCGCCACATGAAGTTAGGCCCTCGCTGGCAAAGAGGCAGGCGTGGAAAGTTAGCGTTTTTGCTAGATCCATTCATTTGCGCCCACTGGGAGGCGCAGCCGGCAATTGCTTCCCGCACGCAACTGCGAAGAGGGGAGGGGAGTAACTTTCCCAGCAGCAGCCGCTTCCCTCATTTGCCTTTGCTTCCCACTTTGGTAGGGTGAGCGGCCGGCTGAGAATGGGGGAGGCAGCGCCCCCGCCCCCGCCCCCACCACCATCGGTTGCCGCGGGGAACTTGTTCTCGCTCCGGTAGCCACCTCTCCTTTCTGCAGTGACTTTGCCTGGAAGGTGCGCCAGCTCTAATCTCGCTGTCCTCGATGAGTGCCTAAAGCTTTCGTGGGCTCATCCCGATTCTACCAGCCCGAGTTCAGCTCGGGAGATGACTGCTTTCTGCAAGACTCCTGGATTGCGTGCATATTGTTCTTTCGTTCTTTCTTTCTGTCTCTCTCCTCCCGCGCGACTGACGCCACATCTCCTTCGCAGCGGGAAAAGAGACGCGCGAAGCTTTCTGCCGACCGCCCGATCATTTGGATCTAACTTTGTGTGTGTGAGGAGCGGGTCGTTTTCGTTTGCTTGGTGGTGAAGAAAGAAGTCGGAGCTCCCCTCGACCTTGCATTTTGGTGCCGCTGTTTCTACGGCTGTATGTCTGTGTTGTTTTTTTGAATGGCTGCACCATGGCTACCGCAACGCTGGTTTGCAGGGTGCAGTTTCTGGACGACACCGATCCTTTCAATAGTACCAATTTTCCCGAGCCCACTCGGCCGCCCCTCTACTCTTTCAGGGAGGACATCCCCCTGGCCACCCAACTGGCCGGGGTCCACCGCCTGCTCAAAGCCCCGCAAAAGGTATGGAAGTTCCCGGGCCACATTTAACTGGCCGGAACGGCCGATTTGGATGGGGAAGGGGCCAGAAACTTCGGAGGGGGGTGTGCTCCGTTTGCGTAGCTCGTTTAGTTCTTGGGTTCATATGGTACCATTGGTGTTTTTCGCCAGAACGTAAAAAATTAAGCCCGTAAGCAACTTAAGGACATTTTTGTGCTGGAGAACATGGTGGACTTGCTTCTTAAAAAGTACGCGTGGTGTGACTGAAGAGTACTTTTTCTTTCATGGTATTGAATGTCTGAGTTATCTAGTGAAATGGATCGGCAGTAGTTTGATGACAGTACATGCTTCACAACATACATGATGAAGGTAGGGAATTCATTGCTTCAAGAACAGTGATGGCCACAACCCTAGGAGCTATAAAAAGAGATTCAGGAGTTGGAGTCAGGCTAGGTTAATTATGCTTTACTCCCATTAAAATAATTAAAATAAAAACCAGTAGGAATTAGATTACCTAGGACTGGCTTGCCCCATTGATTTCATCGGGGCTAAACGTGACTAAGGGGATCAAATGACCTCTGGAGCTTAAGTCTGTCAACAGCTATTTTGACTGCTATATAAAATCTTCAGATGCAGAGGCAGTACCCCTGTGAATGTTGGCTTATGGGGCAGTTGGGATAATTGTAGGCAGGGACTGGATTACTGTTCTTTCTGAGATCTTTGCAGAGGTATCTAGTTTATCATGTTGAAAAAGAAGAGCTGCTTTCAGATTTCTATCAATAACTGAATCTATCACACTCCAGCTGTTATCTACTTTGATTAATTGTTGTGTGACTTGAGAAGTAGATCTTGCTTTCTTGTATTACGTTTTTGAAATAACCAAACATCCTGAAGTCAAATGGATAGGAGCAATCAAAACAATTGAAGTTATAATTCCCAGACACAAAATATAAGATACATTGGAGGTTGCATTTAATTTTCCAGAATATTCCTAAGTGGGACATATAGGGAAAACCATCAGTAAGTTATGAGTTACTGAGGTTGCAACAAATCTGGAAGATGTTAGGTTGGGGAATAGTATCAATATGATTGATACATAAGAGGATGGGTGCAAATTGGCTGTATTTGTACAGTCTGGGCTTGGCCTTTGGAATTTATTATTTGCTTTTATAGTCCCCAAAATATGAAGGAAATAAGGTTTTATAATGTTCTTCCTTTACTTCTAGGTATTTAAATATTTATATCTAAAAATGTAAAAATATGATTCTATTGTGTTCTATTACAGTAGTTGTTATATGTTGCAGGGTACATGTATTTATTTAATGATAATGAGCCTAAAAGTATCACTCTATTCATGCTGTTTTATCTCTTGGTGTTCTTTTATCTTCTATGCAGTCTCATAAGCATTTTTGTTTCTAAAGCAGGGTTCATAGTTTAATGCGGTCATGGTTTGATTCTAAGATATTGTTCACTACACACAATAATTACCTATTTCCTGTATCAGATGATGGAATATATGTGAAAAATAGTAGCTGGAGATTGTTGTGTCACCAGTAATGTGAAAGAAGAAAAGGATATATGCTTTGCTACAATGATATACAAAACACCAATGACTTGAGTAACCTACATATTTTTTGGTGTTCTAGTTGGAACACTGCTGAGAAGTCAGGAGTGGGACAGTTTCATTTGGTACATATTTACCAAGTTGCCAGATATCACCATATTTACCAGAATTAAGCCCTGCTACATTAAGTGGAACTTATTCTCAGGCAGCTGTACTTGGTGATACAGATAATGTTTTCTTTCTTTTTTGTTTGTGGAAGAAAGGAAGATGTAACTTTAAAATTTCTCTTCCTATTTAGAGTAGACTGTGGGATAATTGTAAAAATAGTTCTTAACTTGAATTTATTTGGGATGGAAAGATTGTACTTCAGGTTTCAGTACAGATTTTTGCTAAGAACCTAGTATAAAAATAGTGCAACAGTATGCTGATACCAAATAGGGTGCAGATAGAAACAGAACAGTGATCAGTTAGTAATGGCAACTGCAATTTGAGGTACTTTTGGTGGTGCCTGAAGATGTTGTTAATGGGTATTTATAACCTTTCCAAAAATGCTTCTTCTCATAGCAAACCATCACCCTACACATTGACCCAGTATCTAAGAAATCTACTCTCAACTTTTTTTTTCTTGAACAGACAGAATATTCCTTAAAAAAATTTTTTTTTAACTTAAATGTTTCTAAATCTAGAGGCTTAGAAACCTGGGCTGCTGGCTCTTTTCTAGTACATTTTGAGTTCTTTCTTAATAAATTACCCCTGCATGGAATGAGTTCCTCTGAATCTTATCAAATAGCTGTTTCTAGCAACTGTGCATTTGGCATCCATGTAAATGAATGCATGTAAGTGTTTCTATTAATCATTAATTTGCCCTGTTTTCTTAGGTCTCTTGGAGATTGCTTTTTACTTCCACAACAGCTGAACAGGACAAACAATTCTACTTAGCTAGGGTTTCTGAAATGGCTGAAGCCTTAAAAACATATATAAGTCATCCTTATACATGAATTTGCACTAGCAACCTGTTCAGAAAGTGAAGTAGGAAGACATATAGATTTCAGGACTTATGGAGAAGTTGGGGAAGAGGGAAATATGTACAAGCAAATAAAAGTATATTTAAGCTGTTGCATATGGTTGTCTTAAGAGCTGACACTTGTGCTGAAGCTTTGGTAAAAATAGAAGTTGAATCTCCTGTCCTTGGAATAGTTGATACCCTTGTAAAGGCTACAACGCATCACATAAAAAGAAGCCATCTATAACCTTAGTAGAAGCTGCCCCCCCCAACTCAAGTCTCACTCCACCCCTTCCCATTTTGTTATCTCTGTGACACTTCTAAACCTTTTTCCAGCTGCTAACTAAGAGTACTCAGGGATACCTTTCTGGTACAGTAGTATCTTACCTTATGGGAAGGCTGCCACCTTCTGTTTTTGCTAGGCGGTCCTTCCGCTGTTTGTAAAACAAAATCCCTTTATATTTTCCTATCTGTTTGGGACAATGATAGCAACTATTGAAAGATTGGGCCTAGAGGTTGCATGTAACAAATACTGTTTTCTAGGGATATGCAAAATATTCAGTGTATAACTCATTTTATGCATGAAAAAGCTGTTTTGTGGGGTGGGGAGAAGTTCATGCCTCAGCCAAAACATGGGTATTTCAGATATTTTGGCCCACATATTGAAACTGGGCTGGTTATTTTGGATACAGACCAAAATACGGTTATTATGGGCTGATTTTCCGGTATTGTATATATGTCTGCTGAAAACTTCTGCACATACAGTATATGATCCATTCTATTGGTGATTCAAGTTCTGGAATATATCAGACAGTGTCATTATTTGGGCCTTGCCATTGACCTACATGGATTAAGAATGCTACATAAAGTACCCTGTTTTCTCTCATGAAGCTACGCTTTGAATGCATGTGTAGTTTGTGTTGGATAAAATTGATTTTTAGGAAAGTGTATCACAAATATGTATATTTGCATTAATTTATAGTATTTAGAATCAAATACTATAAATTTGATTCTACCCTTTGCATTATAGTCTACAAATATGTAACTGTTATATAGGAATGGAAAAAAAAATAAGGTAACTGACATGCTAATTCTTAGTGTTTTGAGGTCAGCAAAAATAAAGATGATCAAATAACAGATTCAAACTGCTTTGTGAGGTGTTGGAGAGTAGAAATCCTTCTGATGTGGAAGTATCCTTGAATTTTTACCAGAGTAAAATCATTGAGTAAGTCAGGGGACATTAGAAATAGTGTTTTACCTTCATCATACGCTCTGCTAATTCTGTATTTTTTTTAGAAAACAATAATCTTGATTATCTTCTGATTCTCTTTAGTAAACAATATGAGTTCACAGCTAGGCTATTCAATCTCTGGTTAGATGATCTGTCTTTGATAAAGAGATGGGAGGTTGACTGAAAGGTTCTCTGTGATACCAGATGTGCCATTAGATACATTGAAACAGTGAAAACGTGAACTATTTCAACAATTTTTACAAATTTAAGGTAGGCTTTTTTACTTGTTTGCTTGTTAGTCAAATGTATAGGCCACTTTGATCATAATTTGTAACTCTAAGAAGCTTTCCAGATTTATAAGGTATCAACTAATATCTTCACTACTGTATTTCTGGAAAACATAAGGTCAAGGAAAGAGAATAATTTTTTTTTTTGAAAGCTCATTGATCTAAATACATCTAATTCTCTCCAGCAGCCAGTTACACTAAACCAATATAAGGGAATTTAGGTGAGAACAGTACCAATTATTTTTTCCTTTTGACAGTTTTGGAAGGAAAGGAAATGGTAACAATGAACTATAGGGTTCTCATTCCATCTTTGGAATGACATATTGTTGAAGCTTTCTATGTTTAAGAAGCTTTTGTGTATTATCATCAACAGTGTGAGTTCTACTAACCTAATATCTCCTTAAGAACTATTTCCACATAGGGTTTGTCAACTAAAACTTTACATATAAATATGGCACTGCCAGTGATAATATTTTAAGAATCCATCAGGTGGAGATGGAAATCAGTCATTTACACCAGAAGAGACAAGGCTTTATGTAACAAGTGATACAAGAAAAGAGAATGATATAATGGAGCCGTGCCTAGTGGAGCAAGCTAGTGAAGCAAGGATGACAAGCTATGAGGTACCTGAAGATGAAGAAATTCAGACATGAAAATCTTCTAATTACCCTTTTTGGCTTCTCAAATAAGCAAAAAGTCAGGATATATCACTGAGTAGGATAGAACTCTGTTATGATATTAATAATAGCGAGGTACTGTTCCTGAAACATCCATGTAAGGAACTTTGCTGAATTTGAAAATCCTTTAACGCATAATATTGAACATTTACTGAGTATGATTTATAATCTGTTACTGAAATATGATTCAGAACTTGAACAGGTCAAGATTATATGTTTAAATGGGTGCAAAATTTTAATACAGTTATAGAGATAGAACAGT